CAAAAATGAGTGCGTTCAATGCAACCAACTCAAAAACTAGTTTTAAGGTGTCGGATTTTGAATTTTAATTTGTAGAATTAGTGTAATATGATGATATAACATAGGATACCAACTAATTAGCGGATTACCCTCCAATTTTGAGTTCTATCCCTAAACCCCAAATTGTAAACCCTAACCCTAAATCTCTAAACTCTAAACCCCAAATTAATGTTTTTCCTAACTAGGATAAGCTTGAAAAATATTGTCGCGGGAAATTAGATTACATAATGGGACACATACCCATCCAAAGATTATTTTTTCCTAAAGTGCTTCATGCTTAGGCTGGAAGATCGATTCAGAATATTGATACGCTATTTTTCTGTTTTGGTTTAGAAAGAATATATAAAAGCAGTATATAAATATATTTCAAAATAATTATCTTCGATGAAAGAATATATTGAACATGCTTGGCGGGAGATTTGATAAATAAGGATGCAAAAGAAGTGAAGTTAACCGCCAAGCTTGGAATTTGGTATTGACCGCCTTTTTGTTTTTCCCTCCATCCTCTAAAAGTTTATTGGCGGCTACTTCAGTTATATATCACAGCAACCCTAAATCTAAGGATATCATAGTCATCATATTTGAGCGATTCGGACGGCAGTGGTCTCTCAAAACTCCTCGGAGATTTCTCCAGTTTCCGCTGCTACGACCACAAGGTAAGTAATTGATTATGCTTTGCTTCCACTCAGCAATACGACTTACAATTGTGACTCTGCTTTTTTAGTTTAAATATCAACAATATGTAGCCATGAACCTGCATCTTTCAAGAGTCCATTGCTAGATGATCAAGTGTCAGTGGTTGGATGGTTTGTGTTTGGGTTTGGTTTTTGCCCTGTCGATAGCTGCTCACGTTATGTAATCTCACTTATATAGAAGAAAGACTCAATGTAATTACAAAAAGGAAGGTAACATGGGAGACGGTTTAACAGCTAGCTTTTTTTTTTTTTTTTTTTTGGCAAAAGATAATCATATATTGATTCAAAAAGAGATAATTACATCCTGGAACCAAGCCAGGCCTGGAAATCAAAAACTCGACTCATAGTCGGAGACAAAGAAAGGGCCTTTCTAGCCACCCTATGGGCTACCCTATTGTTACTCCGACCTACAAACCGCACCTCACACCCCGGATGAGAATCAAAAAAATGAAGAACTTCTTCTAGTACAGCTCCCACCCGGCTATCAGCTATCTGTCTCGATTTTATCTTATCAATAAGCACCTTAGCATCTCCCTCGAACCTGACTACCGTGAACCCGAGCTCCAAACACCAACCAACAGCATCCCGGAGGGTGAGCAGCTCAGCGACCATAGGATCAACCACATCAGGAAAGAGAACCCCCCTTGCCAGAAGCAAATCATAGTCCGGAGTCATAATCACTATACCACCTGCCGAGGGATGTCCTTGCCTGGTAGCCCCATCCCAGAGACAGACGACCCTCGGATCACCTACTGGTGGAGCTGGGCGGACCGTCACTGCATGGGAGGGACTATTAGGGTCAGCAGGTAAGCTCACCCACTCCTCATACTGCTGGTAAAACTGTCGCATTAAGGCCGGGATACCAAACTGTTTCCCTTCAAAGACCACCCAGTTCCGTGATCGCCAGATCCGCCAAAGGATTGCTACCAGGGCCATAAACAAATCCGGCTGCTGGATAAGGGCCATTACCCTTTTAAGAAATAGCGGGAACGTATGGCGAGGCAAAGCCTGCCCAAGAGATTCTAACCCCGATAGGTCCCACAGTGCACGTGCCACTGGACAGTACAGGAAAAGATGTTCCAACGTTTCAGCTTCTGCCCAACACACCGGGCATCTCGGGTGCACAGGAACCCCTCTCTCAATCAGAGCCTCAGCGGTCGGCAAGATTCGGTTCAAGATCTGCCACAGAAACACCTTTAACTTCGGGGGGATGTGCGCACCCCAAAGACGGACCCAACTTGACTTATCCATCCAGCTTACCACAGACCGCCACCCACCCTCCTGCCTATCCAGCCGGACTGCAAGATGATAAGCTGACTTTACAGTAAACAAACCATCCGCAGAGTCATGCCAGATAAGCCTATCTGGCACATTAAGCCGAGGGAGGGGGATTTCCTTAATTGCCCGACAAGTAGGAGGGTCAAACCACTGAACCAGTTTGGCCTCGCACCACCTTCCTTCCCCCGGGCACAAGACCTCCGCCACACAAGGGGACCCGCCTGCTGGTAAAACTTGAGGATTATGCACTGGACCAGAGGGGTGCAATTGCGGGACCCAACTAGACTCCAGAAGAGAAGCCGACAAACCATCCCCAATCTGCCACCGAAGACCTTTTTCTAGGAGACGTCTACCAAAAAGGATACTCTGCCACCCCCAGGACGGGCGGGATCGCGCTTGTGCAGTGAGGAAAGACCCATTGGGGAAATATTTCCCTTTATAGACTTGGGCTAGGAGAGACTGGGGTTCATTAAGGATTCGCCAACCAATTTTGGCCAAAAGGGCTTGATTAAACTGCTCGAAGCGACGAAACCCCATCCCCCCATCATGTTTGCTTCTGCACATATTCCGCCACGACATCCATCTCATTTTCGAGTGGCCATTTTCAGTACCCCACCAAAACCGAGCTATATGTTTATCCAGGAGGCGGCAAAGAGACAAAGGGAGCTTGAAGCATGACATGACATGGAGGGGCAAAGCCAGAGCCACTGACTTAATCAAGGTTTCCTTTGCCGCCCACGACAATGTCCGCTGTTTCCACCCCTGAAGCCTTTGCAGTAATTTCTCCTCCAGATATCGGAAAGTAGCCGTCTTTGACCGTGCTATCAGTGTCGGCAAGCCAAGGTACTTATCATGGACACCCACAGCACCTACTCCCAAAATCTGGGCCAAGAAATCTTGGTCTGGAAGAGCAATATTCTTGCTGAAGCAGACCGCTGATTTGCCCAGATTAACTCTCTGCCCACTGAGTTCCTCATACTCATTTAAAACCTCAAGCAGGTTCTCACACTCCTGGAGAGATCCCCTCAGAAACAAATATGAGTCATCGGCGAAAAACAGATGGGAGATCCTAGGAGCACGAGGAGCGACCTTCACCCCCTCCAGCTTCCGTTCAGTAATAGCCTTCCGTAGGAGAGCAGCAAATCCCTCCGTACAAAGCACAAATAACATCGGCGAAAGAGGGTCCCCTTGCCGAAGGCCTCTTGTCGGGGAGAAATACCCCGAGGGGGTACCATTCATTAGCACTGAAAACGAAGTGGACGTTAGGCATTCCCGAATCCAGCTCCGCCAGGTAGAATTAAAACCCATTTTCTCAAGCACCGCAAGCAGAAAGGGCCATTCAACTCTATCATAGGCTTTTTCCATATCGACCTTAAGAGCCATGTAACCTTTCTTCCCTTGCTTCTTGATCTTTAGGTAATGCATCAATTCATGCCCGAGGAGCACATTATCCACAATCTGGCGTTCTTTAATGAAAGCATTCTGCCCTGCCGAAATGATGTTCGGTAAGATAATAGCCAGTCGGTCTGCCATGATTTTCGTAATGATTTTATAAACAAACTGGCACAGACTGATAGGGCGAAGTTGCCTCATGGTTTCCACAGCATCGACCTTAGGAATCAAGGTGAGCCAAGTATGGTTGAAACTCCGAAGCATCTTACTTGTCGAGAAGAAAGAGCAAACAGCGTCAATCACCGACCCACCAACAATGTCCCAGAATGCTTTAAAAAATTTACCAGTGAATCCATCTGACCCAGGAGCTTTAGTCGAGCCCATAGCGAACACCGTTCTCCGAACATCATCCGGTTGGACTGGCGCAGTGAGCGAAGCATTCATCTCAGCAGAGACCTTTCGATCGATAGGGAGACTCCCCACCCTATCAGGCATATTCTCCACCAGGTTCTCTGAGGTGAACAAATCCTGGTAAAACAAATTGGCGATGTTTGCTTTCCCTGCCTCATCAGTGATCCACTCCCCATCATTATTGCGCAGCCCAGAGATAAAATTTTTCTTTCTCCTGGTCCTTGTGACTGTATGAAAATAAGAAGTATTTTGATCCCCTTTTTTCAGCCACGTGACTCTAGACTTCTGCTGCCAATACACCTCTTCTGCTTCCCATTGCCGAGAGAGTTCCGATTCTAAGACCCGGACTGTATCCCAGTCAATTGGGTGGGCTAGCTTAACCCGATCAACCTCAGCTTGGAGGGTCCGAATATTACGTAAAGAATTTGTCGTACCAGCCCTACTCCAGTCATAGAGCAAATGCCGAAGCTTCTTAAGCCGCTCCCAGAGCTGGAACATAGGCGTACCGCGGATCTCCTCTTTCCAAACATAGGCCACCATAGCTCTGACCTCCGGATTGTCCGCCCAACGGGCATCAAATCTGAACAAAGGGCGACATTGGCGCCGGTACGGCTGGTCAGAGAGGAGGATGGCCCGATGGTCCGACCCCTGATCAGTGAAATGCTTGACCAGTGTTTCCGGATATCGATTAATCCATAATTGAGCTTGGCTTACTTTTTAATGGTATTTTTTCTAATTTGATATTCTGGATTGTTTGTATTGTTGGCTACTGTATGTTTGCTATCTTATATAACCATTATTTCCATCAACGCATCCCTTTCTTTAATGCTTCTTAATTGTTTTCAATTATCGACCAGTATGATGAAATCAAAAGTACCAGAGAATGGCAAGAGTAAAGGTCAAAATACATACGTCTCGTTGAAGAGAAAATCACAACCAGCTAAGACTGCTAACGGATTGATTGGCGGGATTCCCAAGAATAGATCGCAACTGCAAGTCGGGGGAAGACTCAAGCCAAAGTCAGCTACACAACCACAGGAATCAATACGAGATGCAGTTCGGATCTCAAGAAAGAATATTGGACACTCAAAGTCACAGGGGCGAAGCCAGGATTCTAAATTCGGGGGGGGGGGCCAAAATATTTTTTCAAAAATAGTAATACAATATAATATAATATAATATTCATTATCTTAAACGCACACGACGCTCTTTGAGATCAATGAAATCGCTCAAAATATCGTCTAAACTAAATGTGTCCACTATATCCCGCTCAATGTAAATAATAAGACCATCAGCTAGAAAATCATCACTCATTTTGTTCCGTAGTTTGGTCTTCACTAACTTCATTGCAGAAAAAGCTCGTTCACCACTAGCAGTAGAGACAGGAAGAGTCAAAACAAGACGAATCAGTCGATCAACAAGATCAAAGTCCTTTGCCTTCCCAGACTCTGCTAAACCATGACACAATTCGGCAACAGATGATAGATTCTCCAAAGCAGGATGTGTACGAGCAGTACCATGAAAAATCTTCAACTGGAATGCCAATCTGTCTATTTCTTTTTCAGAAAAATCTAGAGGATAATACTTTCTTGCAAGACTGCAAATAGCATCAATGTCAAAGGCTTTATATCCATTGGTAGGATCCAAACTCGAGCTCAATTTCAGAAGTTCAACCACCTTTTCCTCAAACCTTGAGCGCAATTCCTCTATCTGAACATCAATGGCAGCATTGAATATGTCAAAATGATAATGATGCTCATTTGTGATAGTATCTACCTGTCTGCAAGGACGACCTTCAAAATGTGCAACACTAAAATCTGGAATAGTAATACCATAATCATTGCAAAACTTGATGACCTTTGCCAAGAAAGAATCCCAACCTTCATCCCTCATTTCCTTCAACACCATTTTAGTAACTTCCACCAAACTCATGGCATTCACAATGTCTTGAGACTTATGCTGCAGAGCACGACAAAGCGTATCAGTTGTGCCAAAGATATCATTCAGTAGAAGTAGAGTGAAAATGAACTCAAATGATGACATCTTCCTCAAAGCTACACGAGCATCCCCTTTGTTTTTAGCTGTATACCCATCTTTCTTTATGTCTTCAAGAACTTTGTAAGATGATTCATACAATCGAATAACACTTGATATAGAATTCAGATGTGAACTCCATCGAGTATCACCAGCTCGTTGTAAAGTACTCATTTGATTAGCACCTGTTCCTGTTGCAATCTCTTCCCCTGCTATCAATTGAGCAATCCTAGATGCTTCGACAACTTCCAATTGATCATGCCGCTTAGAAGAAGCATTAACGGCATTTACAATAAATGCTAAGTCTATGAAAAACTCATGCACAGCTGTCACATCTTTAGATGCCGAAACCAGTGCTAATTGAAGACGGTGAGCCATACAATGCACATAATAAGCTTGAGGATGATCTTTCAAAAACAATGCTTTCAAACCATTCCATTCACCACGCATATTACTAGCACCATCATATCCTTGACCACGAAGATTCTGAATAACAAATTTATGTGAAGCAAGAGTTAAGCAAATTGATGTGTGCAAAGTCATTGATGTTGTATCTCTAACATGAACAACATCAAAGAATCGTTCTTGGATAAGCCCTTGAGTATCAACAAAACGAAGAATGATAGCCATTTGTTCATGTTGACTCTCATCACAAGCCTCGTCCACAATGATAGAAAATTTGGAATCTCCAATTTCTTCAAATATTTTGTTGCGTACCTTCTTAGCTAGCACATGAAGAATTTGCTTCTGAATGTCGGGTGATGTATACTTCGCATTCTTTGGAGCATTGCCCAATACAGTACTTTTGACTTCTTGATTGTAAGAAGAGAAAATCTCAATGAGCTCAATGAAGTTGCCACGATTCTTGGAATGAGGAGTCTCATCGTGGCCTCTAAAGGCGACCCCTTGAAGTGCCAGCCAACGAGCACTATCAATTGAGGCTTTCACTCGAAGCCTATTCTTCTTTACTTCTGCAGAACTTTGCTTCCCAATCACTTTGCCGATGTGCTGCTTTTGGTTTAGTAAAGCATCACGCATCCTCACTGCATCATTGTGATGAGAATTGGAGCTTTCTCCCATATGCTTTCGAAATGAACAAGTTAGTACTCCACTTTTAACCTTTTTCCAATTGCGGAAACCTTCATTGACAAACTTAGCCCAACCAGATTGCGTAATAGGCTTTTCAGCAAACAAATAGCATGGGAGACAATATGCAGAATCCTTTGCTTCTGAGTATTCAACCCAAGGAAATTCAGAATACCATGCTAGTTGAAAGCCACGAGGATGTTCAGCATTACCACTTCTAGGAAAATTGGGAAGTTCAACTTGTAGGGGGCCGTAGCTCAAGTAAGCTCTCCTTATCTCATCACGTTTGTCAGGAGGAAATGTCCACATTGGCTTACGTAATCCAGGATCTCGTTCAATAGAGGCGAACGATGGATTAGTCACTCTAGGAGAAATGGCAGAACTCTCTAAAATCTCATTCGGCACAACAGTAGAGTGCTCCTCAATCTCAAAGTTCAATGCTCTCGGAACTACTTGTACTTCATCTTCTAAATGATCATCACTTCGCGGGAAAACATTTCTTGTAAAGTATGAATCCAACTTCTTTTGTTTTCTCTTCATGGTGACTACAAGCAGAGAACATATGAGTTATTAACATTTTTAACAAGAACAATAAAAAGATAAAAACAAAACCAATCAAACAGAACCAGCTTAAGGTTGATTCTCCCTACCACCATCTCTCACGTCGCCCAATCCCCACTAATTCATCATTCTTCCCACTAATTTAAGTTTTCAACAGCTAGAGTTTTCAAGAGACACGCCATTTATATATGCTACGAGGAAACAATATCAATATACCTTCGACAACCCTAACCAGGAATCCCATCAAATTTCAATTGAGATTGGAAATACTCATTCTCGAAGCAACGCTGTAGGCAGGAGATTTGTGACGTCGCCGACCACAGATGAGAAAGAGATTGAAAAGAGATTAAGAAAATAAACTTACTACGCTGTACGGTGGAAATCCGGGTTGTTCGGTCTTGTTGCCGCCGGGAGGTTCTGAATTGGTCGAAGTCTATGGAGATGAGATGGAGATTTGAGAGGGGTGGACTATGGAGATGCCGCACGGCGGCCGGAGAGGAAGGGATTGATGATGAACGAGAAGAGCTGAAGAGGTACTGAAGGCTCTGTTTCTAATTTTAGGGATTGTGAATTACAAAGGGAACAATGGTTGCTCGACAGTAAGGGAAAGAGAGTAAAGAAAAGATAAAAATTGAAATTTTGGGGATTGTGAATTACAAAGGGGAGAAGGGTTGCTCGACAGGAAGGGAAAGGGAGTAAAAGAAAAGAAAAAAATTGAAGGGCGAAAAAACAACCAAATACTTCTTCCCAGTTCGAACTCATGACCTCCTTTTCCAAATTGTGAGCTTCTTCCGCCAGGCTACAATTAAATCTTATGTTATGAGTTTGCATATACCTAGTTTTATAAATGACTCTCTAAATTCCCGGGGGGGCCATGGCCCCCCCGGCCTCTACACTGGCTTCGCCCCTGCTCAAAGAAGGTGTCAATTCCAAGTAAGGAATTTCTATCTTCACAACCTACTCGTACCAAAGCTGATCACTTTAACTTGCATCGAGGATCTTCTTCACTACACAAAGGAACAACGTCGAATGATTCTGAGGAAGAAGATGAAGATTATGAAATGGAAGATGATGGTGAATACGAGTCCACTGACCAAGAATGTAGTGAAGAGGAAGCCGAGGATGCATCTGAGGTAGAACCTACCACTGAATTTGACCATCAAGCAGAAAATTAAGGTATATGAACTAGTTTTTCCAAAGCTTATTCCTTGCTTGTGTCATTTTACTGGATTTTTAATTATACTTTTATCGGTTTTGTATGCAGCACATAAGAGAACCAGGGGTCCTACAAAATGCAAGGTGATTCATGCTCGAGAACTTGAAGAACGTGATATAGTCATCGTTAATGAGTTTGGACAACCGATAAAGAATTATAAGATTTGCGACCAATTCAGTAGTTTCTTGGGAACCGTGGCACGAAACAGCAAGTTTCTCCCCCTCGATTATGTTTCATGGACATATGTTCCAAAGGAGAAAAAGCTCAACGTGTTGAATTATGTCAATGTATGTATAACACTCATACCCATATTTAGTTTACCTACCTTTGAAATCTAATTTTTTCCCAATAATTATTCAAAATCCTTGTATCATGTAGTCCAAGTATGTGGTTCCACCCATTTGCCACAAGTGGGTTATGAGGACGATATCATCAGCTTGGAGGAGACATAAGTGTAGCACAAAAGCGTATATGAATCTGTTCAAAACAAGGGCTGAGAAGTTGGCAAAGTGTCCGGATACGATCCCCAGAACTGTAATGGAGCATCTTTTGGATCATTGGGGGACGCCAGCTGTGATGGTAATCTATATGTTAGTTTATGTTTTCTTGTCTATACATTCATGGATTCCTAAAAAGTTATACTCCATTCAAATGGCAGGAGCAAAGTGACAGGAACATTAAGGCTCGACAAAGTCAAGTTACTCAACATAGAACAGGAAGGAAGAGCTATGCACGACATCGCGATAAGCTGGTACATTGTTATGGGGTACATTATAGTTTCATGATTTCAGTTCTTATAGTGAGTTTCTTTTAACAATTTGTTGACTTGGAGCAGAAAGGGGAGAAGGGAAATGTTGAAGAGCCAACTGAAATTGAAATGTTTCTCCGAACTCGTAAGATGAAGGAAGGTCAAGATATGGACGAATGTACAAGGGTATGACTAAATATCATGTCAATAAAATCGTTAAATGATTATTTTATCTCATCCCCGTTACACTTTAGGCTCAAATGGAGGGGTTGCAAAGTTTCGTCGCTGGACAAGAAGAAGATCAAGAACAAGCAGCAATTTTGAGGCATAGTTTACTATTTCATGGAATAGGAGTTAATCCAACAATATTAAAGAGAAAGTACGAGACTTTTGCATTAAATCAAGAAAAGGGGAAGACCACAAACGAATCTATGCTGCCCGAAGATGTGCAAAGCAAACTGGATCAACAGGCATCACACCTGTCAAGTGGATTACGCAGTGTTGTGGCTTCATTGAAGGAGTCCAATCCAACTCTTGTCATCCCCGAGAACATGTTTGATCTCTTGCTGGTGAACCATTCTACCGAGGCTAACACCAGTGGTGGGAAGGAAATTCCCAATGCAAAAGCAACATAATAGGCCTTCTCATTGACGCCTATGGAGGGTCTCGGCTACCATTTAGTTTATGTTCTTTAGGGACTTGCTGCTGTTTTTACATTCCTTATTTTCTACTTTTTATCAGAACTGTTGCTTCAGCTATTCTTTGTGATAATGCAAAAGCTTCTTATTTATAGAGCCTCCATTGAAGGCACATCCATCGAGTTTGCACGGGCCCGCCAAGTCTAATCTCTTCCACCAAGTGAATAGGTAGATGAACCATTATATCAAAGAAGCTAGGTGGAAATATACGTTCTAATTGGCACAGTGTCTCAACAATCTCAGTTTGCAAGTGATCTAATTCACTCAAGATTATCACCTTTCGACAAACAGCCTTAAAGAATGAACCAAGTCTGATCAAAGCGATAGCCACATTCTTTGGCAAAGTTCTACGTACCGCAACTTGGAGCAAGTACTGCATAATAAAATGAGCATCGTGACTCTTGTACCCAGAGATTTTCTTCTCCTTCACATTCACACAGTGAGATATATTGGATGCACAACCATCTGGTACTTTAGCGCCTTGTAAGACCCCACAAAAAATCTCTTTTTCATGGTTAACCCGTGTATAACAAGCTTTCACCAACTTACTCTTCTTAGGATTTTCAGATTCTCTTGGATGAAGGCTCTTTCTAATTCCCATATCCTTTAAATCTAGACGAGCATTAAAATGATCCTTGGTCTTTCCTGGAATGTCTAACAACGTTCCCAAAACATTGTCACATACATTCTTCTCTATATGCATAACGTCAAGGTTATGACGTAGTGTATTATGCTCCCAATAAGGCAATTCAAAAAAAAATAGACAACTTCGAGAATGCACCTCTTTTCTCAATTATCTTCTTTTCTTCCTTGCCAAAGTCGTTGATGAATCCAATCAAGTGTTCCTTAATCTCCGAACCAGATAACGGTTTCGGCTTTAGGCTAAGCTCTATTTTTTCCATCAAAAGAGTTTTTGTCTTTCCTCCACCTGTGTTTCGCATCAAGAAATCTGCGTGCCCCCATGTAACATATTTTCCGACTCTTATATAAGTACTGAGAGCATGTGTCATAATTACAACTAGGACAAGCAAAGTATCCTTTTGTACTCCAACCAGATAGCATGGCCAATCCTGGGAAGTCACTGATACTCCACATTAAACAACCATGCATGTTGAACATTTGCTTACTATGAGCATCATATGTCATCACTCCTTCATGCCATAAGGTCTTCAACTCTTCAACAAAAGGTTGTAAGTACACATCAATATCATTCCCTGGTGATTTTGGCCCCGGGATAAGTGAGGACAAAATCAAGTACTCAAGCTTCATGGACATCCATGGAGGTAAGTTGTAAATGGAAACTATCACTGGCCATGTGCTATGAGAACTAGTCATATTCCTGAATGGATTGAACCCATCTGCAGCAATGCCGAGCCTGATGTTTCTGCAATCAGCTGCAAACTCGGGATGTAACTTATCAAAGTCTTTCCAAGCTTGACCATCTGCAGGATGTCTAAGTTTGCCATCCTTCACTCGCTTCTCATCATGCCATCTCATAAATTCAGCGGTCTTGGAAGACATGAACAACCTCTGGAGTCGCGGTATCAAGGGAAAGTAACGAAAAATCTTGGCTGCAATTTGTTTCTTGGAACTAGTGCCATCTTCACTGTTATCCCCCTGACTATCAGCTGTAAACTTGTATCGGGATTCACCGCATTTTTTGCAATTCTCCAATTTTTCATTGTCACCATAGTATAGCATACAATCATTTGGACAAGCATGAATCTTCTTGTAGGTCAAACCTAAACCTTTAATCATCGCCTTCATTTTACCATATGATGCAGGAATCTTTGCATCTGGAAAAGCATCAACGAGCAAGGAAAGGAGCGAGTCCATTGATGCATTACTCCATCTGTTCTGGCACTTAAGAAGATAAACTCGAATGGTGAAAGAGAGCTTTGAAAATTTCTTGCAGCCTGGGTACAATTCTTGATCAGCATCCTGTATGAGAGTAAAAAATTCCTTCACTTTGTCATTTGATTCTCCACCACTCTCTGTAGCATAGGCATCATTCAATAGGCCATGCATATCATCATCACCAATCTCTTCGACATCTCCTATATCCTCGACAACATTCTCTCCATGATCAGTCCACTGATTGTATTTCGGAGCAAATCCACGTACAACCAAATGTGTACGGACGATATCTCTTGTTTTCCAGAACAGGTTAATACAGTCCACACAAGGACACACAATCTGATCCCCCTCGGCTGAATTAGTAAATGCAAAGTTTAAAAAGTTCTCTACGCCGTTGCGATATGCAATACTTTCTCGTGGTTTTGAAACCCAACTCTTGTCCAACATTTCAATTGCAACCTGCAAAATATTTCAGCTCATGTTAAAGTTTGCCAAAACAAAGGGGTATAACAACTATACATTTGTCTTCAGACTGGTGTCTACTAGCATTTGTTCTCAGAATGAGTGCCTCACGAAAGGAGAAAAAATGATGGCTGCCAAAAAATGCATAAATGAAGGAATTACGGTGCAGAAGAAACATTAGAATTTACAACACAGCAAAAGAGACAAAATATCTACTAAGAACATCTTCAATCAAACTAAATAAATCATGATATAATCTTTGTTTGCAAGAAAGGGCGCCTCACGAAAAGAGAAAAATGCTAAATGGTTGCCAATAACTATCACTTAGCACATTATAAGATAATCAAACCAAGATAGTAATTTTTTGTCTTTGGCATTAGTCATGGCAGCTGTTAGTTTAAGACTTTTGGAGCACTAAGTCTAAATGTTTCTTCTATTGTTAGCAGCTGCTGCAATTTTTCACATGTTCAGCCCCAATTAATACGGAGATTGACAACCAAACTACAGATGAAAATACATCGAATTTTGCCAGTTACCCATTGCCATGAGCCGCAAAGGGGTGACCTATAGGAGCTTGTACCAGCTGCTTATGGGGTTGATATTAGCTACTTATAGAATCTTATAGAGCCTGAATCATTTAGTTAATAGGTTGTATTTTGCTATACGAATTAGTGTATCATAATTTCATGGGAGGAGAGTCGCATAGCAAGAAAAATATCTAAACGAACTAAAGTCACTAGAAAATCATTGCCAAACCTCTCGATCCTATATGTAAACGACAAAGGCAGTGTACAGCCAGTAAATGCAAGACACTATAAGATCTTACGGTCACAATTAATCTCCTCATCTCCACATTCTGATAGAAGAAGTAGCAAAGCTACTAGATGCTGTGTTTGCCATATCTTGGAGGATTCATTCGAGAACAACTCACGTGAAGAGATTGAACATGGTATACTGTAACAACCTGAAATGAAGGGAGGTAGGAAGGCTACAGGTCTAATGTGAGCATACTTGGCCCTCTGTATATCCTCTGTAGTCTGCTCACAATACTTTATTGAGCTTGAGAATATTTCTACTGTCTTAAAAATCATAATCAGCTGTTGTAATTGATTTGCAGTTCAAATTTCAAGAAACGCACTACCATTGGCAAACAAAAAACACCCAGTCCATCACATTTCAAACACAATGTTGAGAAGAGAATTGCACAATTAATCTAAAGCAGTAGCTGCGTAATATAACCCCACCGAACAGCATTGAAAGCTATGAATTTGCCAACCTGCCTGCAATTCATGATTCAAAGGGCAAGTCTACATGCTGTTGAATTTAATTAACAAAACAGTCCCTTTATAGCAGGCATTCCTCCCATTGCTAGGAGATCTAGACTATAGGGAGAAATTATCCTTATTCCCGTCTTCCTTTTCCGACATTCCACGACAAAGAACTCGTAGGAATTCAAACCAAACAGCAAAACTAAAATATAGATATTATTAAACGAACTGACCAGGAGATAAGGTGCTTCTTTAGTGACAAATTCTTGGATAGATACAGCAGGTAGTTGAAGATTGTGTGCCGACTGCAGCTCCAAGGAGTGGGTGCTCTGCTCCTTTTCCGAACTGGACGAAGAACAGGGTTTGCGGTTGCTCCTTTCTCTATTTTTCCCTTTTCGCGTGAATATGTGGTCTAATCGTTTCCCACAAAAACGTTTCATGTTTACTTTTGGGATTCCGTATCTTTCTCTGTCTAGGAACTTCTTTTATTATCATTATAATGATCTCACCTTTTTTGTTTTTACCAAAGCAGAGGCAATGATCTCACCTTTCAAAAGGAACGTATATGCAAAAAGAAATTGGAAAAAGTTATTAAGTATTTCTTTTTCTTTTCTTCGTTCATGACGATTGGCGAGAGATCAAGTTAGTTTTAATCCCATAAAATTAATGCAATGATATTACTTAATAATAAATATCAAATTGATAGAATAGTTACATTTTTTATTAAGTGTTGCCTAAAATATAGGTATATGTAACACAAATTATTCATTTTACAAGTGTTACATATTATTTAGGTATACGCAACAAAAATTATCGTGCTGTTAATTTGTGTTGTATTAGGTATATATTACGCGACACAAAATGAATGTGTTACCTATATTTATTTTATGTGACACTTCTAAAAAGTGTTGCAAGACGCGTGTTGCATAAAGCCACTTTTCCTGTAGTGGGAGTAGTATGCTAATTGATAACTACTGTCGTTTGAGAAAAAATTCCCAATATTGCCACTACAATAATTGGACGTCCAATGAGAGAAGCCGTGAGTTGTGACTTGTGATAATGATCATGCACTGAAGGAACCAGAACCACAAATGTTATGGTGGTCCAGTAGGCTACATGATTAAACTTAGATATTTCTTGAATTCACAACCTTGTTATAAAACCCTCTCATCATGTTCTACCTGCTACTATGCACAACAACTCAGTACTTTTACTTTCCTACCAGCCGGTCGAACATTTACGACAATGGAGGAGGCTTCCTACAACCAAATCTACCACTACGGCTATTTCCTCCTTCCACTTCTCTTCCTCTCCATCTACTACTTATTAACCTCCGGCCGCCGCGGAGGCCGGAAACTCCCTCCCGTTCCCCCGGGCGCCCTCCCGATCGTGGGCCACATGAGGCTCCTGAAGCACCCAGTCCACCGAGCCTTCCAGGCCCTGGCCCGCGACCACGGGCCCATCTTCTCCCTCCGGCTCGGCAGCCAGCGCGCGGTGGTGGTCTCCTCGGCGGCCCTGGCGGAGGAATGCTTCACAAAGAACGACATCGTTTTCGGCAACCGCCCGCACTTCATCCTGGGGAAGCACCTGGAGTACGACAACACCACCGTCACCATGTCCCCCTACGGCGAGCACTGGCGCAACCTCCGCCGCATCGGCGCCGTCGAGATCTTCTCCACCGCCCGCGTCAACTCCTTCACCTCCATCCGCCGCGAGGAGGTCCACCGCATCGTCGCCAGGCTCATGACGGGAGGCAGGCAGCGCGTGGAGCTGACGTCGGCGTTCAACGACCTGGCCTTCAACAACATGACGAGGATGGTGGCCGGGAAGAGGTACTACGGCGGCGGGGCGAGCGAGAGCGACGCTGAGGTGGCGAAGGAGTTCACGAAGATAATGAAGGAGGTGGCGGAGCTCGGTGGGGCCACCAACGCGGTGGATTTCGTGCCGTTGATGAGGTGGCTGGACCGCGGGAGGTTCGAGAAGACGGTGAAGGAGCTGGCCGGGAATATGGACCGGTTCTTCCAAGGGCTGATTGAGGAGCACAAGAGTAAGGAGGAGAAGTTGGAGTCTACCAGCACCATGATTGACCGCTTGATTGCGTTGCAGGAGAATGATCCTGAGAGCTACGATGACCAGTTGATCAAAGGCCTTGCTCTGGTGAGGTCATTTTAGTCATTTCACACAACATTATTTTTTTATAGACGGTGAAATTTTATAACTAATAACTGTACGTATAAAAAAAATAGTAAAGTTAGTCGACATTTTCGCCCCGTCATTGTGAGTTTTTTCCTGATTAAGTTGCCAAACTAGGCTACATGATTAAACCTAGGTGTCAAGCTACTAGATTTTGATGCATCCAAAATATCATATTATGTTCGTTACATTTCAAATCTTGACTTCATCCCTGCCTGAACTTCAATTCTTTTCATGCACGTTATTAGGTCATGCTGCTGGCCGGAACCGACACCAACGCAGTAACGCTAGAATGGATCATGTCAAACCTTCTGAACCACCCGGACGTACTGGCCAAGGCAAGGGACGAGATCGAAAACCAAATCGGGTCGGACCGCCTGATCGAGGAGACCGACCTCCCCAACCTGCCCTACCTTCACAACATCATCTCCGAGTAATAGATTTGTATGAACGATTTGCGGAATAATAAGAACACTCGATTTACGTGGTATCCCCGAGTATCGGGACTAGTCCACGGGAGAGTTTAACTCTCCGGGTTTTCTCTTTATTCGATTATGGTATAATGGCCGGCGGCCTTACATCACTTATATACCCTTCTCTACGTTCAGCTAGGGTATTACAACTAGGAGAAGGAGAAGGCTTCCTTGTACAATAAGGAATAGGAATTTCTATCTCTCCTATGACAACCGAATCACTAACTCCCTTTACTTGGACCTTAGCCGAGATAGGCTGCTGCTGCTGCGGACTGCTCGTAGCTCGTGGACTTTGGGCCACGTCCATTACTCCCCCGCAAGCTGTGGCGTGGAGATTACGAACGCGCAGCTTGGAAAGTAGGAAATGGAACCTCTCAGCACCAAGCCCTTTGGTAAACATATCCGCAAGTTGACAGTGCGAGCTAATCTTCGTCGGTGCAATGTCACCAGACTGAACACGCTCTTGTACGAAGTAGCAGTCCATCTCGACATGCTTAGTCCGCTCGTGAAACACGGGATTAGCAGCTATATGAAGTGCAGCTTGATTATCACAGTAAAGAGTGGTCGGTCCACGTTGTGCGGCACCCAACTCCTGGAGTAACCATCGTAACCAAAGGATCTCACTGACTGTGCTGGCCATGGCACGATACTCTGCCTCAGCAGAAGAACGAGCAACCACTTGCTGTTTCTTCGTTCGCCAAGAAATGGGGGCTCCCCCAAGGGTGACAACATATCCTGTAGTTGACCGTCGGGTGGACTGGCAACCACCCCAATCTGCATCACAATAACCTGTGAGCTCAAGAGAATTATCAGAAGGAAAGAAAAGACCTTGTCCGGGAGCACTCTTGAGGTACCGGAGTATCCTCTGCGCGGCATCCATATGAGCATGTGAAGGCGCATGCACGAACTGACTGAGTATGTTAACCCCATAGGCGATATCCGGTCGAGTAACTGTAAGGTAAAGAAGTCGTCCAACCAAACGACGATACGCTGCTGGATTAGGGTGATCAGCCGATGCGGGATGAGTGAGACGATGGTTCTGTTCAACGGGGAATGCACTGGGACGACTACCCAATACGCCAGCGTCCTCCAAAATGTCCAGTACATACTTGCGCTGGCTCAGAACCATCCCTTCCGGTGACCTCGCGACCTCAATGCCCAAGAAATACCGCAATGGACCCAGATCTTTGATGCTAAACCGCTGATGAAGAAATGCTTTGACTTGAGAAATGAAGTCTAGGCTTGTACCTGCCAATATAACGTCGTCCACATAAATAAGTGCCACGACATGGATACTCCCCCGTCGAAAGACAAAGAGAGAGTGGTCCGCTGGTGATGGTCGGAACTGGAGCTCACGAAGTGCTGCAGTAAACTTGTGATACCAATTCCGTGATGCCTGCCGTAATCCGTATAAGGATTTGTGTAGGCGACAGACGCGAGTCTCACCAGGAGCGGCGAATCCTTGAGGGATCCGCATGTACACCTCCTCGTCCAAATCGCCGTGGAGGAAAGCATTATTCACGTCCAACTGATGAATGAACCACCCTTTGCTGACAGCGACTGCGAGTAGGCAACGAACAGTGACCAACTTTGCAACAGGAGCAAAGGTGTCGTGAAAGTCTACACCTTCCACCTGCGTGTAACCTTTGGCAACCAACCGAGCTTTGTACCGCTCAACTGTACCATCAGGATAAAACTTCACTTTATAGACCCATTTGCAGTCGATAACTCGCTTGCCAGGAGGGAGAACAACTAAACTCCATGTTCCATTTTCTTCGAGAGCCAAGACTTCCGCTGACATGGCTGCACGCCAACGGGGGTCCTTAATTGCCTCATAAAATGACCGAGGTTCGGAATGATGTGCGACAGCTGCGAGAAAAGCACAATAATTAGCCGACAGTCGATCATAAGAAACATGTTCAGATAACGGATAACGAGCTGAGTGAGCATCACTTCCCGTGTAGTAGATGTCAAGGTGCTTCGGTGGGATTCTATGACGATCACCACGGCGAAGGGGTATTGGGGCCGGTGCCGGACTTGGAGGGGTCACAGGAGACGCTGCCGAGTTGTGACCGGACGAAACAGGGGGGCTCGGTGGTCCTGGAGATGCAGAGGACCCAGGGGAGTTGGGGCCATCGGGCCCATGAGGGGTAGTGAGCTGTGGCGACCCAATAGGAGCAGTGGGCTGTGGCGGGCTGCGCGGACTTGACTGCTGGCCTGCTTGGTCAGGCTGGGCCTCAACTGACGGTCCAGAAGGTGAGCTAGGGGAAAGCAGCCCAGTAGGCATCGGCGGAGTGAGACTGGCCAGGTCGCCTTCGCCCCCAGCATTGGAGCGCTCGAACACAGCACCTGGTACCCAGTGAAATTGGCCGGAACTATTTTCATGGAACGGGAAGACTGATTCATGGAATGCAACGTCTCTGCTTGTGATTATTCGTCGGGAAGATAAGTCATAAGCTCGGTACCCTTTTTGACTTGCGGCATACCCCAGAAAAACACATGCGCGTCCTCGTTCGGAGAACTTTCCCAAGCTAGCATGCGTATCTTTGCAGTAAACTAAGCAGCCAAAAACTCGAAGATGTTTATAGGAAGCCGGTTTGCCAAATACAACTTCATAAGGTGTACGTCCAGTTGCTTTAGTGGGTAACCTGTTAATCAAATAAGCTGCCGTTAGGATACATTCACCCCAAAATCTAATCGGTAAAGAAGCCTGAAAACGAAGCGCCCGAGCTGTCTCAAGAATGTGGCGATGCTTGCGTTCCACTACACCATTCTGTTGTGGCGTGTCAGTACACGAGGTCTGCAAGAGAATACCCATATTTTCATAAAACTCACATAAGACCTTGGTAGCGAATTCCGGGCCATTATCAGCTTGTATCTTCTTTACCTGTTTACCAAACTGAGTACGCACAAGATTACAGAATAGTTGTATATAACGACCGACTTCTGACTTGAAACGAAGGAGATAAATCCACACACCACGACTGAAATCATCGACTATAGTCAGAAAATAATGAGCACCACTGTATGACGGGGTATGATAACCTCCCCAGATGTCCATGTGTAACATCTCAAAGCAAGAAGTAGTACGAATCCCACTAACAGGAAAAGGTGTTCTAGTCTGTTTAGCTCTGGAACAAGAATGACATAAATCAACTGCCGAATTAACTGGAAATGAAAGACAAGAACTGAGTTGCTCCAAAACTCCTGCCGAAGGATGGCCTAAGCGTGCGTGCCAAAGTGCTCCCTGCTCCTTAACCACAGCATTCGCGCGCGCACGACAGCCAAACAATTTCAGAAAATATAAACCATCACGGATCTCCCCCTTCCCAATCACGTTCCTGGAGTGTAAGTCCTGTATAACGCAGAAATCACCAAGGAAAATTAACGCAACGTGATGCTCTTGACAGAGCCGACTTACAGAGAGCAAGTTGCAGCTGAACTCCGGAACATGTAAAACGCGACCAAGGACCCTGTCATCACTGAGGCGAACCGATCCTATGCGTTTCACAGGAATACTAGCCCCGTTTGGTATTCGCACAGGTTGACAAGACACATTTTCATTATACGAGAATAACAAAGAATCATCCATCACTATGTGTTCATTGCAACCTGAATCAATAAGCCATTCGGGTTCATTGGAAGGAGAAAACGTACCCGCCATGTGACTAGAAGGGTCGGCAGCTCCACCCTGAGCCATGCTGCCGAAAAATTGCTTCAGCTGGTTTAGTTGTTGCGGGGTAAAGCCAGACGCAACAGCAGGATCAGACTCTGCTTGTGAAGCTCGCGGTTCACGACTTTGTCCGCGGCCCTTACCTGCATCCCGGCCATCCCTCGTATCCCGATTGCGACGACGATCGGGTTTGTCTCCCTGCTTATCACGGGAGGGCCAGCCAATGATCTCAAAGCAACTCTCCTTGAGGTGGCCTGTCTTATGGCAATGCGTGCAATAACGACCATCCCTGTCTCCTGATCCTCGTCCACGGCTGCCGCGGGTCTCACTGCTAGCCTTATCTCCATCTTCTCGGGCGGCAAAGGCAGCAGCCTCTGGAGTTGGTTTTCGGTTTTGAGTGAGAACCCTCTGTTGCTCATCATTAAATACAATGCGGAAGGCTTCAGGGAGGGAAGGCGTGGCCGACATAGACAAAATTTGGCTGCGGACGGTGGCAAAGGACTCGTCCAGCCCAAGTAGGAAGTCCAACAATCGTAAGCTTTCGTTTTGGTCACGACTCCTTCGACCACATGAGCAGATAGGTGGCGGAAGGATGGATTGGGTTTCGTCCCACACCTTTCGCAGCTGAGTATAGAAGCTGGAAACCGACTGTTTTTCTTGTTGTAATAGGCTCACATGACGTCGCAGCTCGTAGGCGCGCGTCAAATTTCCTTTGCTAAAACGCGCACGAAGATCCTCCCAGATCTCTTGAGCAGTTTTAGCGTGCATAACGCTACTGCGTAACTCCGCATCCATGGCTGTTCGCAGCCAGCCCTTGACGAGTGCATCGCAACGCATCCAGGCAAGGGATTGTGCCGATCCTTCTTCTGGTCGGACAATGGAGCTATCCACAAAACCGATTTTGTTCTTGGTGACGAGAGCATCCGTCATCTCAAGAACCCATTCGGCGTAGTTAGAGGACGTGAGCAAGCTGCTCACATGAAGGTGACCTGTGCTGTCACTCTGATGGATGAAGAAAGGATTTGTGACATCAATATCACGATTTCCTTGGCCATTGTTGCCACTGCTGCCGCCGGAAAGCTTGGATTCAGGTGTGCCTGAAGGAGACGAGTCCTCCCCAGACATATCGAACTTGCAATAGGATCAATGCTCTGATACCATAATAGATTTGTATGAACGATTTGCGGAATAATAAGAACACTCGATTTACGTGGTATCCCCGAGTATCGGGACTAGTCCACGGGAGAGTTTAACTCTCCGGGTTTTCTCTTTATTCGATTATGGTATAATGGCCGGCGGCCTTACATCACTTATATACCCTTCTCTACGTTCAGCTAGGGTATTACAACTAGGAGAAGGAGAAGGCTTCCTTGTACAATAAGGAATAGGAATTTCTATCTCTCCTATGACAACCGAATCACTAACTCCCTTTACTTGGACCTTAGCCGAGATAGGCTGCTGCTGCTGCGGACTGCTCGTAGCTCGTGGACTTTGGGCCACGTCCATTACCGAGACCCAGCGGCTGTACCCGCCGACGCCGATGCTCGTCCCCCGCATCTCCACCGACGACTGCGTGGTCGGAGGTTACCACGTGCCGCGGGACACCATACTCATCGTCAATGCGTTTGCCATCCACAGGGACCCCAGCCTCTGGGACGATCCGACGACGTTCAGGCCCGAGAGGTTCGATGAAATCAGCGGTGCAAAGGAAGGTGGGAGGTTCTTGGCTTTTGGAATGGGCCGGAGGTCCTGTGCGGGCCAGGGTGTGGCCCTGCGGGTCGTGGGCTTGACCCTGGGGACGTTGATTCAGTGCTTTGATTGGGAGAGAGTCGGGGAGGGAGAGGTTGATATGGCGGAAGCCAAAGGGATCACGATGCCGAGGGAGACGCCGTTGGAGGCGGTCTGTGTACCTCGTCCCAACATGAAGAGATTCTTCCCGTGATTGGAAACCATGCATGGCCGGCCGGCCGGCCGGTCAGCCCATCACCGCCGAGCTATTACTGTGTTCCGCAGAATGATAATAATAGTACTAATTAATATATAAGAAGAATAATGGCGGGTGGGATTTGTCCGGTTGTGGGGTTGATTCGGTGGGTGGGTTAGATGTTATGTATTATGATGAGAGTGGTCCGGTTGTGAATGACCAATATATCTCTTATGGCGTGCTCGGGTTGGCACGTGTAAGATGATGTACACTCAGATCTATAAATTGATGGTTTGGATTAATCTGAGGATGGATGGTTGATATTGAGGTTATGCACCAAATATGTTTCGACTTTCGAATTGGGTTTGTAGGGTTCTGGGATTGGGATACACGGAAAAGAAGAAGAGGAGCATGTGTCTTAATTAGGCGAAGATAAACTCGATCGGGTAACTTTGTGGGATGCCAATTGAAGATAAAAATTTTGTAAATGTTGAAATAATAGATGCATTGCTTGGTCAAAATATAGTGCAAAACGAACCACAGTTAGAGAAAATAAGTAATTCGTTTCATTGCATTAGCTAAACACATGGAAGTCTTGTCACATCGTCCTCCTCTCAACCATTCGTCTGCATTCAATAGTTTGAATGAAATCACTCTTTGGAGTTGACCCTGAAATCACTTTACCATATCCCCAAAATGCACACTATGTTCCAAGTATTACACCAAATACCTTACACTTGAGGGTAAAACTAATTAAGTAATTATCCTTATATAGAACCAATGATTTATCCAGTAATCTAAATAACATGCTTTCCCACATATCATTTATCACATTCATGACTAATCACAACATGAAACCACCATGTTAATATATAATGAAATTCATCATGTAAGCACACCATAGTGAGTCATGTGATCACAAGTAACTATCACATAAACACATCATGAAGAATCATCATACAAACTCATTCCAAAGAAACGTCACATAGGCCTATCACGTAGAGTCATGATGTAAAACACCTCATTCACATGCATGGTTAGGTTGTTGGTAGATTTTTAATTTATTGGCAAGCTGTGCATTTCCCGGAATCTCATGAACTCGTAATCTCAAATCACATGTCACTTATCATTGGGTGCAAAAGCATCATCTCTTCAAATACTTAGCCCAACCTTGAGGTACTTCTTATATCACTTAGGTTTGAAACCTCTATTCACTTACAATAATGGCATGACATGGCATCATTATACGTTTCATTTAGGTGATCATCAATATTAGGGACGTGTCTTAGTCCCTGTACAATTGTATAACCTTGTCCTAGTGTAACTAGTATTCCTCTTTACTTACTGTACAATGTAACTGATGGGTATAAATATACCCTTGTGCTTTTCAATAATACTCACGTATTCAAAGCCTAATATGGTATCAGAGCTGGATACCTAAACCTAAAGTTTTTTTCTTTCGCCCCAGGCGCTGTCTACGTTCATCAGCCCCTTCCTCATGGCGAATTCCGACGAGCCCCAGCTGGTTACGATCAATCCTGCTGCGTCTCTTCCGTTGAAACTCACTACTGTGAATTTCCCGTCTTATCGCGCTCAGCTGCTGTCTCTTCTCCATGGTCTTGATCTCGTCGGTTATTTGGATGGATCTTTTCCTCCGCCGACTCCGACGATTCTTGTCGATGGTGCTGAAACTCGGAACCCTAAATACACTCATTGGTTTCGTCAGGATCAGCTTCTTCTTAGCAGCTTGTTCGCCTCGGTCACTGAAGCAGTTTGCCCCTACATCAGCGCTGCGAAGACCTCTGCTGACGCCTGGGCTATCCTGCTCAAGCTATTTGCCAGCACCTCTCAGTCTCGTGTTGTGACGCTCCGTGATCGCCTTCTCGGAGAAAAGAAAGGCGACCGTGATGTCTCAGCCTTTGTTCAAGCCCTTCGCTCTACTGCCACAGAGATGGCTCTCGCTGGTGCCCCTCCTACCGACGCTGAACTTGTCACTATTTGCCTTCGAGGTCTCGGCCCTGATTACACGGAGTTTGCAGCTGGTATTCGTGCCCGTGAATCCCCGCCGTCTCTCGATGATCTCCTTGATCGTCTCCTGTCCTTGGAAGCTGATCTCAAAGCCTGCCGCTCCAGCACTGACTCGCCTGCCACTATTTTCTCCTCTCAACGTGGTCGCGGCTCAGGTGCTTCTCGTGGACGTCGTGGTGGCTCGGCTGGTCGGGGTGCTGGTCGCTCCCCCGCTCCTTCAAGCTCGCCTTGGGAGCCGAACCCTGTGGATGATTCATCCTCTCGTCGACCTCGCATCCAATGTCAGTATTGTGACAAGCCTGGTCACACAGCCAAGCAATGCTATCAACTGCATCCTCAACGGCGTCCACAGGCCAATCACACCACCAACGCGCCTCGACAGCCTTCCGCTTCTTCGTCTGAACCCTGGCTCATGGACTCGGCAGCGACGCATCATGTAACTCATGATCTTGGCAACCTTTCGCTTTATTCGGACTATAACGGACCGGATGAGGTGTATCTTGGTGATGGTACGGGGTTAAAGATCTCTCACATTGGATCTTCTACTATTTCTTCTTCAAACCCTCCTCTTAATCTTCGTGATGTTCTTTGCGTTCCAGCACTTCGCAAACGCCTAATTTCAGTTGCTAAGTTGTGTCGTACTAATCCTGTCTCTGTTGAATTCTTTGCGAACTATTTTGTTGTGAAGGATCTAAGCACGGGGGCGTCGCTGCTGACCGGAAGGAACAAGGGTGATACCTATGAGCTGCCTGGCGATACTGGAGCTGTTCGGTTGGCGTTAGTTACTACTCGTGTCACTTCTGACTCCTGGCATCGTCGTTTGGGTCATCCGTCTTTTAAGTCTATGTCTCGTCTTTTTCGTGTCCATTCCATACCTCGTTTAAAGTCGTCGGTGTTATCTCATTGTTCATCCTGCTTGTCGAACAAGAGTCATAAGTTACCTTTTGGAGATTCCTCTTTATCGAGTTCGAGACCGTTTGATTTGCTTTATTCGGATGTATGGGGTCCTGCTCCTGTCACTTCTGTTGATGGATATTGTTATTATCTAGTTCTTGTCGATCATTTCACCCGCTATACATGGATTTATCCTATTCGACGTAAATCAGATGTTCTTGCTGTCTTTCTTGATTTTTGTCGTCTTGTAGAGAATTTTTTTGCTACTACTATCCGTCGTCTATATACGGATGGTGGGGGTGAATTTCAGAAGCTCAAGCTCGAGCTAGCCAATCATGGCATCACTCATCTTTTGACTCCTCCGTACACTCCCGAGCATAACGGTCTCGCAGAACGGAAACATCGACACTTGGTCGAGACGGGTATAACTCTACTTCATCAGGCCAAATTACCTTTGTCATATTGGTCTTATGCCTTTACAACTGCTGTCTATCTTATCAATCGTTTACCCTCCTCCTCTCTTAAAGGTCGAGTTCCCTTCACTGTTCTTTTTAATGAACCACCCAATTATACTAAGTTACGTGTTTTTGGGTGCCTTTGCTACCCTTGGCTTCGACCTTATAGTGCGTCTAAACTTCATCCTAGGTCTCGTCCTTGTGTCTTTCTTGGGTATTCTCATCAACAAAGTGCTTATAGGTGTCTAGATCCTGTGTCGCGTCGCATGTTCCTTTCTCGTCACGTTGTGTTTGTAGAGTCCGAGTTTCCTGGTGTAACTCCTTCCACTTCTGCACCAACCGCACCTTCTTCGGACTCCTGGCTGGCTTCCTTTCTTCCGCCAGTCACTCGCCTACCTACAGCGCCACACACGCCAGCAGCTGATCCTGGTCACACAGCGACGTCTCCCGAGCCTGGAACTCCTTCAAGCGCAACAGAATCTCCACCTGAGACTCCCCCGTCCTCGCCACCACCACCGCCACCATCTCCACCTCCTCGGCATCGCATGGTCACTCGAGCTCAGCATGGTATTTTTAAGCCTAACACTAAATTTCTTGGAGCTACCTCTTCCTCGCAGGTCTCTCCTCCACTTCAACCAACTTCAGTCAAGGAAGCGTTGCGATATGAGGAGTGGCGCAGAGCTCTTCATGCTGAAAATGATGCACTTCGAGCCAATCATACCTGGGATTTAGTTCCCCGGCGGCCTGATATGAATATTGTTGGCAATCGGTGGGTGTGGCGTGTTAAGCATCATCCTGACGGCTCCATTGAGCGCTTTAAAGTTCGTCTGGTGGCTAAGGGCTTCCATCAGCGCCCCGGTGTGGACTTCTTTGAGACCTACAGCCCTGTTCTCAAACCTGTTACAGTGCGAACAGTGTTCACAGTTGCCCTTTCTCATGGCTGGTCGGTCTCTCAGTTCGACGTCAACAATGCGTTCCTACAAGGTCCTCTTCAAGAAGAAGTCTACATGTCTCAACCTCCGGGCTTCCATGATCCCCAGTTTCCGACTCATGTATGTCGACTTCGACGAGCTATCTACGGTCTACGACAGGCTCCGCGTGCTTGGTATGAGACGCTCAGCTCTTTTCTCGAGACATGTGGCTTCGTCAAAACTCACTCGGACGCCTCCCTTTTTGTCTATCATCGTGGGTCGGTTCTTGCTTACTTCTTGATGTATGTGGATGATCTTCTACTCACCGGTAACTCTCCTGAATTTCTTCGGCAGTTTGAAACTCAGCTCTCGGCGCGCTTTTCTCTAAAAAGCCTTGGTGAGGTCAACTATTTCCTTGGCGTTGAGATCATACCTACCTCGACTGGCTTCTTACTCTCTCAACACAAGTATATAGTTGATCTTCTTCTTCGGTTTCAAATGCATGAGGCGAAACCCACTTCGACTCCTCTTCCGTCCACTGCCCGTCTCAGCCGAGTTGATGGTTCCGCCCCAGCTGATGGGTCTCTCTATCGTCAAGCCTTGGGAGCGCTTCAGTATCTTCTCACTACTCGGCCTGATGTGGCCTTTGCCGTTAATCGGTTGTCTCAGTTCATGCATGCTCCTACGACTCTCCACTGGCAGCATGTGAAACGGCTTTTTCGCTATCTGG